TCCAAGGAAGAATATATGCATTCTCATTGAATTGGCAATTGAGAAAGATCTAGAAAGAAATTCCTTCTGGCCATCTTTTTTCTGAATACTATACACAGTATTTTCTCTTTTTAGAGACTCCAAGGCTGAAAAATCTTGCGCAAAAAAATTAACCTCCCTCCAGGAATATATACAATTCAATCTTTTTTAAAAATGTTCACCCATAATCATCAACATTTGCATGTAGGGTCTGTATGAAACAGACAAGTACGTCAGTATACTTGCCTGAATCACCTTGAAAATATGCAATAAAATGAATTTAAAAATACACTTCTGCCATGTTCATCTCCTCGGGTTTCGAATTTCTCAGTTTCAGCAACATCTATGAAACGTTTCTCATTGTTACATAAATGAATGCCTTATTCAGGAAAGTTGTGATTAAAACTGGAATAATTTTCCGCACACATCGTTTTTTGTTTCGTACAAGATACGATTATGTTTCTTTACAAAGATTTCAGACGGAAAAGAGAGCAACGCTTGTGGAACTTGAAAAATATTTCATACGCTTATTCTTTTTTTTTTAACTGTACTGTTGAACACATAGAATTTTTTCATGTTACAGTATTCTATACATGCACGAATGGCTCACATACTATTGAGTGAATGCTTCTCAGCAGTCGAGCAAAACAGCGGAATCGTTCAGCAGATTACGAGAGTTCCGTGAGGAATTTTCGTGCACACATATATACGTATACATAGACACGTATACATTTCATACCGGCAGAAAATTGTCGCTGCGCTGAAGCCACGGTGGAATTTCCATGCTGACCAGTTCGTGCATATTTCCGTGCCTTTTTTCCCCCCCTGCAGAATGCAGCGACGATGGGCCAGCAGCAGCAGCAGCAGTTGTGCACCTATGGCACGCAACAAGCGATGCATCCGTCCGCCGCAGCAGAACACGCAGGACCGGACACTTATGCGGGTCTCTTGCAGCAACAGCAAACAGACTTTTATCAGTGCCTGCAGCAGACAACTGCAGGCGGGCCAGCAATGGAAACACTGCCAGGAAATTACCACACTGCACCCTGGTCCTTCCCGCAAGGTTCGTGCTGTTGCGGTGAACGCAAAACATAATTGAAGCTGCCTCTATACCCGGGGCCGGCTCCAATAATAGTAAAATCTCATTACAACAATTCAACAAACTTGTGGGGACTTCAGAAAAACTTTGTTGTAACTATAGTAATTTGTTATAATGGGATTTTGAAAATTACTGACAGATTTGAAGATTTTCTTCAAATTAGACCTGCATATATTCAAAATTTTCCTTCTGTGGTCTTTTCAGATATTTACTCAATGGTTAAAAAACTGTGATGTTCAAAAAAAAATGTAATTGTTACTTTAAAAAATAAACAGATACTCTGAATAACAGGTAAATACTAGCCCACTTTCTTGACTCCAAGTTTTTTAAGCAATTCCTGCAAGGATTTGTAAAGTAGGTGAATGTTCCAAAATTGCTGACAATTTTTATATCATTAGGGTTTCTCAAACATACAAACCCTTTCTAACATGAGTTTTGCTGGACTCATTTTTCTCCCTCCCACCATCATTCCAAGCATGAGCATAATTTTTGAAAAATAGGATTTTCAAGTGATTTTTAAAGAATTGCTGTGCTTGATTCCACCTTATATTCCAAGAACCAGTCACATTTTGAATGGGAAATGTGAGACTGTGCCTGCTGCTTCCATTAGGAATTTTTCAATAAGAAATCAATAAGAATAATACAATAAGAAATGAGAGATTCAATAAGAAATGTTCCTCAAAAGAGTTTTTCTTATACTGAAATTGGCCAGTTTGTTGTTATGAGATTTTATAACATGTACTCTATAGGATTTCTGCCGGGACTTGAAAAAAAGTTTGTCAGACTGAAAAATTTGTTGAAACGGTATTTGTTGTAACGAGATTTTACTGTAATACACGTAGCATATATATATATATATATATATATATATATATATATATATCTCTCTCTATGGCGAAAATCGAGGGTTCAGAAAAAAAAATCGTTTTTGGGAGAATTTTGTTCTAGAGAAACCGCATAACATGATGTGATAACCCTTTGGGATCAAAGAAAAATTCTTTATACAGAGAAAATCGTTGTAGAGAGTCCACTCATGATACAGGTGGACTTATTTCAGATACGGCTGCTGCCGTCGGTCGAATGCAGTCATTTGGGGAACAAGGAGGAATACCGTTGGTCGAGATCCTGCCGCCATCAACAGCGATGCTGTCACATCAGAGCAGCATGCGTCAAGACGGCGTCCCTTCCGTCGTCGTCGCCCCGCCGGACGTGGTTCTATGACGAAAGCCTTCGGACGCCGTCGCCGCCACCTGCGCTGCTGACGACGGCGACCTCGCGTGTCCAGCAGCAGCAGCAGGAGCAGACGCCTCCGCATCACTGACAGCGACGGAGGATGTGGCCCAGTCCCCGATGACGGCGCCTGCAGCTGGACCCAGCAGTACCCTGCCCAGACAGCAGCAGAAGAATAAGCAGAAGAAAAGCGTGTCCTTCAACATCGCGCCCCGCTGACGACATGTCTTGCATTTTTTTTTTTCATTCTTCCGCCCTTCTGCTTCCATATAAAGGACGATGAAAAAGAAAGAGAGAAAGAAAGAAACTTCTCGGTCTTCCATTCGAATACGTTCGTGTACTTTTTAAAGTACGGCTGTATCAGAAGAGATATTATGCTGTCTTGATTTTATTCCAGTGCGTCAGTTTAATGCGGCATGAATATACAGTATTTGCTGATGCAGCTATAAAAGCCTTCCAACAATACCATCAGTCGTATCTATGAAACACGCCGGTTTACCACGCAAAATCTTGGACCGATTTACAACCAAAATTTTGCAAGCATCATTGGATTAAGTTCAAAATTGAAGTTCAAGAAAAATTGTGACTCCATTTTTTCGAAATTCCGGGATATGATCAGGTTAAATCATCGTTATATTCATAATGGAAGATTTTAATATATTTCGAAAAAATATACGCATTACTGGAAGTATACAATATAAGCATTTATTTTAACCCCTGAAGTTTCCTCGAAATAGCGGAGGTTTCAAAAAAATTTCAGAATTTTCGGCAATCGCTTCAGAGGTGGATTTGAAACTGCTGCAATAACTGCACGCAGGTACATTACGCAAATGACCGATTTTCATTTTATCTTTAATTTCGATTCAACTTTAAATTTTCATTTGCTTTAATCATATACATGGCTATTTGGAAATCGCTCCAAAATTTCGCATAGACCAGCCAGTATATGTGTTCTCAATCAGTTTTTTTTTTCGATGCGGCCGTAAACCCCTATATATGCCTCTTTCAAAGAATATTACCATTCTTGACCAGCATTGACCACATAATTTTTATTAAATTTTGGGTTATTTAACTAATTATTCTCATGGAATGGGGACTCGTCTTTCCTGAACTCTGTGAGGACCTGTGGATGAACTTTCATGCCCAAAAGTGAACGCATACGAATCATCTCAGACATGTATAATTTTGTAGAAGTGAAAAATACAGTAATAAAATAGTTTTCTTTAGGCTATTACAAGATTTCATAGCTGTTGAAACACATTATGAACAGGTGTTATATTGACCGTCGAATCTCATTTCGAATCATTTAAATGTGAAAATGCACCGTAATTGCAGACAAAAAGCTGCATGAGTAAAGTACAGGTACAGTATTGTATAAAAAAGTTGAGACGGACGCGAGCATGTAAAAGTCTATGAATGTAAATCATTATATTTTGAAGAGCGGAAAAGGGAAAAATCAAAATAAACATGCCAAGACGAAATTTAATCCCATAAAAATTATATTGCACTATGCTTCAGGTCATTTGAAACAATGGAAATCAAAAATCTTTTTTTGTTGTTGAGGGGCATCCTCAACTAAAACCATTTTCCAACTTATCCCGTAAAAAAATAGGATACTTTCCCTCGGCAGCCTGAAGGACATATATGTGTTTTTTCCCGTGCTAATTCATATACAGTAAATGTGAAGTATCCTGGTGGTATGTTGGAATATTAATTACTCGATTTTTTTTTTTCGGGGAGGAAATATAATTGGAACGTTGATTGATACGATGTGGAAAACTGTATTGCCTTTTGTTACATTGATGTTGAAGATGCCAATGCATATATTTTATTGATTCGCAGATGTTTGATAAATGTGAGCATCTTTTTGCTGAAAGAAAATGTATTGTCATTTCATCATCTGCCTGCATTTGGAATTAATTCTTCAATTTTTCTATGCGCAGAATCTTATTGCAATAGCATTTTTTCAGTTTGAAAATTCTGCGTTTTGTTTCACAATGCCATAGGATTAATCTTTTCAACTGCAGCACAGAACCAGCTATATTGAAAAAAACAGCGGATTGAACTCACTCTACAATGCCGCAATAGGACTCAATCAACCTCAACAAGAGAGGTGGTCGTAGTTCATTCATTACATGCATTATTTTGGAGTGATACGAGCTCCAGGAATTCAAGTTTGTGACTTGCTGGAGCATTTTGCTAAAGATGGAGTTAGTGATTAAATTTTGTGAAAATGAGACAGCAGCACACGAAAAATCCCATACTGTAATTCTTTGAACGATTGTTGTTGCCGCGTTGACGTTAGAGCGACACCTACACTTTGCGAACACGATGCATGGACAAGGCTTATAACGTTCCCATGCAGAAGCTGAACATCCTTTTCTATTCATAATTGGTCTTTTGACCGTGAAAATGTGAAAGGGTATGCCAGTGTTTTGCTATGGCGGTCTAACGTGCATTTCCGTGTTGCAAGAGCAGCGGGAAACATGTGATACGTGTGGAATTTATGCGGAAGTGTGGGAAGTTGTATCTGCTGAATTTTGCGTTTCCATGAACGATGAATCTGCCGCTTGTGTCTTACATTTCAATCCTGATCTCTGTAGGGATCCTTTAAGCTTGCGTGCGATTGTGAAAATTTGAGCTGAAGATTGTAATGAACATTCGATTTGGGGAATCCGTACATTCTCCGGAGCTGGATAGACTTCGTGATATATGTGGCACTGTGACAGACAGTCTGCCGGATGAATTCCCATCAACTTCGAGACCTCGCCATGAGTCTCTTCCCTCTGTAGCTGTTGAGCCAATAGAGCCGTATGCCACGAATGGGGAATCTATGTTTCACTTGTCGGAGGATGATGTTGCTCTTTTCACTTCGGGCTACGAGAGCAGTCATCGGTCATTTCTTGAGCGTGGTTATGCCGCTAGGCGGATTGCAGGTCGATCCAGAAATGTTCAAACCCGCGTTCGTCGTTTTTTCATGACGGATTGCTATTGGACGAGAATATGTAAGTATTTTTATCCGTGATGTGTACAACTGAAGCAAAGTGCTGTTTTATTCACTTCTTCGTTTGCTAAACAGAGAACCCTTCTATTCAAATAATGATGTTGCTTTTAGGTGCTTCGAAGTTGCGGATGGCAGTTTCCCTAAATAGTATCCATATGGTGGAACTTCTCCTGATGAAAGGAGTCAATCCAAATAATCAGGATGATAAGGGACGATCTCCATTACATTTGGCTGCTGCGCGAGGTTTCGGAGAAGTTGTGGAGCTTTTATTGAGAAATGGAGCCGATCCCAATATTGAAGATTGTCGAGGAAACATTCCGCTTCATCTAGCCGTTTGCAACAGTTCAATACGGGCTGTGACTGCTTTGTGTGTTGCTGGTGATTATAATTTTTTAGTTTCATGTCATTGCATCGTATTGATCAATTTCTTTCTATCCATCAGGGTCAGATGTTTTGCATCGAGGTAAAGATGGCACAACCCCCATTGAATTGAGCTTATCACGATTACAAGCTGTGCGAAAGAGTGCGACGGTATCCGAGGCGCGAAAGGTTGCATACGAGCAGGTAATTTTATGCATACTACTGTAGCAATGCGGTTTTAGGGCGCACCTTTTGGTCGCTGCTCAAAAAACTTTTCAGGGCCGTGAAAAATAAACCTAAGGATCAAAACTGTGGCTGATACCAGTAGCATTCATAAAAATGTGTTGAATAGACGAGCCTGATCGCTGAATCCATGTTGGTGCTGTTTTTTTTCATGTTGCTTCTAAAAAATAGTATTACACATTTTTTTCTTTAGAGCTTTCATATTTTGAAGAGTGGACTGAAGCACTTCTCCGCTGCGCCAAAACCCATGGAAAAAGTGAAAAATGATCTTGAGGCCGTGTTAGGAAACCTGAGCCTTTCAGATTCGGTCGAGGATGGATTCGAATCCCAACTGGATGGATTGCTAACTGCACTTTCAGGATTATCAGTTGATCCCGGTGAAAGCCAGTCCGTCACGTCTCAAAATTCTGGTGAGGCTGGTGATATTGAAGGTGCGATGCAAATGGCTGAGTGATTATTGTGGGCGCTCTTATTAACGCATTTGCTCCATGAGATACTTCTCTGGAGTGTGTTCATGCATCTTTGCCGTACGGCTTCTCAGAGATCTTCTCGTCGACGTATCACCCGACATTTCTTCTTGTATCGCGATCCTATCGGTGTTTTAACGTTTCGCTGTTTTATGAATCTGTGGTTTGTATGCACGATTTTTCTTCTGCGTTGATTGTGTCAAGTTATTTTAGATCCGCGAAGTTTTATAAAAAACCATTCGAAAATTATACCTGGGAAACTTCCACTCATGTCTGAGGCTCAATCAGTTGAACTTTCGAAGACCAACATGTTTGAAGAATTATCTACAGTTGCAGAAATTTGTGGATGAAGCGACAGTTCTGCGAACTGTGGCATATGCGTGAGATAAGAGGAATAATTAGTCGTCCTGTGGCCATTTTGTTTTCTGTTCCATTAAATTATTTCTGCTGATGTTCCTTCACCTTGTAGCAAAATCTGTAAGCTCTCGTTGCGTTGACACTGAGTTGTCTCAAGAAGTCAGTTTCCCGGGGAAGAGCGTGTCGATGGCTGTTTTGTCCGACAGAACGTTCGGGCGCAAATGAAACTCGGAAGAGAAAATCGCATTCTTAAATTTTGATTGTGCATAATAAATTCAATTTTGGCGTGATTTATTTTATTTTTCGCACGAATCTGAATACTGTAAGTGCACTCCTCAACCTTTTTTTCTTTGTGTACAGTTGATGGTGTACGCTGCAAGTGTCCCGTTGAAATTAAAAAAGACACGTTTCGTTATCAACATTTCTACGTTGGCGGCCTACGATGTAATGTTGCCGAGTGATTCGCGCCGTCTGTGTATGAGTATCAACAGTTCAATGCACGGTGACTGCATTGATGAAAAGTGTTTTGTCTTGAGTGGTCTTGGATGTGATCATTTTTCGAGTACGGAAGGTATTCTCAATGGCTGGAGACGTGCAGTACGTCCTTACTTTGGGCAACAGCATCATCGGCGTCAGTGTGCTCGCAATGCCGTACTGCTTCCAGCAGGTGATTTCTCATGATTTTTCTCGCAAAGATTATTCATCACTTGAGTTCCTGACGAGAATTTTTTCGGGAAATTTCAACTAGAAGTGGTTCGCGTTAATCTTAGCAATTTTAGTAGTTTTTTGATCGCTTTTTAAAATACTGTACTGTAATTTCTCTAGTAATTACGAAGGAAAATGAAATATGTTCGGTTAACTTTGAGTCTTTGTGATTGATGAAAAGTAAAAGGTTTTGCCTTCATGGCGCGTAGTAACAGAAAACCTCTGACTGAATGCTCGTCGGAAATCTCGGATTTTCTTATTTGACGAATTTACTGGGGAAATTTTAATTTTGAGGAATGTTGACGCAATTTCAATGCATTAAGTTTAATTGTGACTTTCTACTTTCATGGATTGAGGTTGGCTGCAACCGCTTCAAGTCCACCGAATTTTCCTTCTGGAGTATTCTACATGGTTTTATTTATTCGACAGATCACGCGGAAGCATGCCGTCAATGTTTCCTGTTTTCTTTCTGATTGCGATATTTTTGCTTGATTCGCTCCGAAGTGGAAAATTCTCACGGGGGAAAAAATGAACTGATCATGGAGAAAAAGTTTGAGTAAAGATGAGAACTAGCTGTGTTTACACGTTCGCCCTGCGTCGCAAAAATATGATCGTAAATTTCTGCCTGCGTTGAGCACTCATTGGATTGACCTCAAACTTTTGCGTAACATGCCCAGTACTCCATGCATATCTGCTCAAGTTGTTTCCGATTAAGGTTCAGGATCCCAACAAGTACAGTATCATGTAAAGTTTTCGGTTTCTGGGGCTTTCATGTTTCAATGCCTCATGCGTTCCATTTTCCAGTGCGGGATAATCCTGTCGATGCTGCTGCTCATTGGTATAAACCTTGTCACGAGAGTTGCTTGCCACTTGCTGCTGAAATCAGCGATTCTCTGTCGACGAAGGAACTACGAACAACTAGGTATTGCTGATTTACTTTAACATCGTGAATTACATTTTCTATATTTCCATGCTATTTTTTCAAGCGTTCGCATCTTTTGGAGCCGGCGGAAAGCTAGCCGTTGAGCTAGGATTAATCGGGTTCCTGGTCGGTACCTGCGTAGCTTTTTTCGTTGTAATCGGAGACCTGGGCCCAGCGATTGTGTCCAGGTCTTTTACGGTTGAGAACAGTTCTTCCTTGAGGTCTTTCGTAATGCTCGCGTTAGCATTCTTCGTCATATTACCGTTGTGCCTTTTGCGAAACATTGAAAGCCTGACCGGCATCGCAATTCTCTCGTTCCTGTTCTACTTCATCCTGGTTCTGAAAGTGAGTTTAGTGCAGTATTACAAATTTCGAGTTTATCGGTGCTAAAAGGGTTATTTTCTAGGTATTCTTTGCATCTGTGGGTCACTTGTGGAGTGATGGTTGGATGGGGCGAGTTGCTTTGTGGGAACCGTCTGGAATGCTCGTGTGCATCCCAATATTTTCAATGGCGTTGTCTTGCCAAACGTAAGCTAATCACGTTTGGCCACCTTAAGAGGGCTGGTGCAAACGGTTTTTGTCTTATGCTCACCTTACCGTATTTGAATTTCTTTTTAGATGGAATAGACGTAATTCCTTCCGAATATAACGAATAATCATTCATGTACGGGAGTTGGACAGTGTACCCTATCCTTTTTGGAAAATGAGGTTTTCCCATCATTCGTGCATGTTATGAGTTTTCGGACGTCCAAGTGGATTTCCAATTACTCTATTCGGAAATTTTTCAAATGTAACAATCATATTCCAACGAGCAAATGTTCCAGTCTTGATACAGTTGGACTCGATAACTTGTACCTCCCTATGTCGAATTTTTTGTGCACGTGTCTGAATTCCCTTGGAAACAATGCATTCGAAATCAAAGCCTCCCTAACTCGAATTTTCGTGAGGCCTAGGCTATTATTTATTGACACGGGGAACAGAAAGGCAATAATGTAATTTGATGCATTTTGAAAGGATATGGAAGACTAATTACGCAAATGAACCCTTGCCTCCGAATTCAGCATAATGTCAACTCATTTTAGAAGCAATTGAAGGCCCAGAATATCACGGAATAAAATTTATGAAATTTTTATCCCCCCCCCCCCCCTTGAAAAAAGNNCAGAAAATCACGGAAAAAAATTTTTGAAATTTTTTTCCCCCCCCCCCCCCCCCCTTGAAAAAAGGTTATTCTCCTAACTAAAAATTTTTTCGCTGATCCCTTGAAGTTTTACTTGAATAAGTTCTACTGTAATTTTTTATTCATGTGAAATAGATTGCAAGGTGCGAATAATTTGAAATTAAGTTGACTAAATTTCTTAGCGAATGAACCGGGGATGCTTAAAATGATGGTGTAATATTCGGGAGGCTTCTGCCCCCGAAACTTGCGTGCTGAGATACATTAATTTCTAATGTATCGATCTTCTCATCGACAGGCAAATATTCGAAATCTACGAGTCGATGCCCGATCCAACGCTACATAAGATGAACAGCGTAGTCAGTGGAGCTGTGAATATGTGTACTTTTGTATATGCTGCGGTGGGCCTGTTTGGATACCTGACGTTTTACGACCTCGAAACAGGAGTTACAGGAATACCGGGGAACGTGTTGATGATATTTCCACAAACTGCGGTTACTGAGGGAATCAAGTTCTTCTACGTTTTGTCCGTCGCCTTGAGCTTTCCGTTGGTTTTATTTCCATGTCGTGCGAGCATCCACTCGCTTCTTTATCCCCCAACGGTGTGTTATTTGGATCGGTATTCTTGAGATTTTTAATCAATTTTTGGTATGTTTTCTAGCAACATGCCGCGAGTCACGATGTGTCTTCGCTTTACATTCCCGATTCCCGCTTTAAAGGAATCACTGTTGTGGTTGTTGTTGCATCCCTCGGAATGGGAATCGTTCTTCCGGCCATCGAAGTTGTTTTAAGTTTGATGGGATCCACCATCGGTTTGATCGTGTGTTTAATATTCCCTGCGACGATCTTCATCAAGAACACGTCGAAGAATACGAATGAAAGGACTCTCGCTCAGGTTGGTTGATGCTGTACTGTATATTTTATTCCTTCGATATCGGGTGGAAAGTAGAGCACATTTTTCTTGTGCAAGAAAGCCAAAAATCATGGATTGATTTAAATGTGTTAATATGCTGATAAACGCGACATACTTGAAAGGCAAATTTTTTGTGAAAATAGGCTTGGTTGAATTTTTTTTCCGGGGAGTTTTTGGTTGCTAGTTGGGCTTTCTTCACGTTACCATTGCTTTATCTGCGTAATAGCGTTTGATTTCTCCTGGGAATCTTGAAACTTCATTGAAATCGTTGTTCAAAACAGGTCATTTTATGCATCGGGATATTTCTTATGGTTGCCGGTACTTACACAAACCTGGTGCAAATGGATTCAAATCGTTCTCTTGAACTGGGGATTGACAAAGGACCTGTTCAGCGGCTTGAGATCTCAAAAGAAAGTTTGTCAAAAATTGAAAATCAGCCCGTGGCTCTCAAACCGCCGGTCCCATCAAATGCCACGTTTTCCAAAAAGCCTCCGGTGTCACCAAAAGCTGATTCTCCTAAGGTTCTCGACCAAACTAAGAATAACTCGTCAAAGGTAGAGAAGCCTTCTAGATCAACCAAGAAGAAGAAGAAAAAATCCCGTGAAGGGACAGGAAACGCACTCAATGACGTCAAACCGAATCAACTGCCGTCAGATGATTCATTTCTTCGTGGCGTTGAAAATGCGGGGAAGCCCGCGATAATAATACAGAGCAAGGAAGAGAAGATTATCCATCAGCTCGCTGAAGAACAGCAAGAACAACGGCAAATCCTTGATGAACAGCGGAAATTGATCGAAGACCTGAGGGAATCAAAGGTGAAGCTCAACGAGGAAGCGAAGAAAGCCGCGCAACCCATTGTTGAAAAGTCGAAAGCCGAGGTGATCAGTGAACTGGAAACGAAAATTAAAGAAATCAGTGATCTCAAGAAGAAAATAGAGGGCGTCGGCGGTGACAAGGAGGAAATTCAGGCTGAAGTTGCCGCCGTTTTAGCCCCCGCCCCCGAAGAACCTGCGAAGCAACCCCCAAACGCGAGTGCGTTTAAAGCAAGTAAGCTGCAAGAACCGTACGTGCTTACGAAACTCTCCGATGGAAGCCCGAATAAGCCCGAGAGTGAAGCAAATGGCGGCGAAGTTCTGGAAGTGAAACGAGATATAGTAGCTGGAGAAATTCCGAAAGAAGAGAATTGTCCAGTGCCTGGTGACTGTCCAGCGGTGAAGGAAGCTGTGGATTCCAATAAGGATCGAGGACTCTGATGTTGCTCTTATCCAGTGACAAGGTTCGTATATTTATATTATATTTTTTTCGAATATCTCACGAAGTTGTTCATTTTTGTACAAACGAAACTGTTTATGATGATAGAACGATTTTAAATCATGAATCTTTCCCCGCAGTGATCGACGCAGTTACCGATTGACGAACAGGAATTTTTTTAACTGAGGAGCCCAATGCTTGAAGGCACTTGCGTCGGATGATAATATTTCGGGAATATTCCCGAAGAAAAAGATGCATCGTTTGCGAAAGTGACAATCAATCAGTGTACTGTAGTCTCTGTCTTTTTTTCCGCCTAAGAAACGTTAAAGAGGTTTTCGAAGGATGTGTTTTCCTTCGTATTGGTCCGGGTTCATCCGATTCGACGAAGCTGTTTGTTTTGTGTTAATCCTCGAACTATGCTTATTTTTCTCGTGTGATGCGTTTTATATGATATGGATTTATGAAATTGGGGTGTTTTTTTGATCTGGAAATCTTGTTCAGGTGCACAGTTTGTCTTGTAAATAAGGTTGTACTATTTGGTTTTGGGGAGTTGGCCGGGATAGGAGAAGAAAACGCTCATCGTTGCTGTGATTAAGTTGGAGTTAGACAGAGCTTGACTTGTTAGCCTGATTAGGCTGACCTACGTTGGCTGTTGAGGGTTCAGGATAACCATTCCGATGATCTTTGCTTTCCTCGAGTTGAAACACGAGGGGTCTCCAAAATATGCAATCCGTCTGATGCAGAAAGAAGCGAAGTAACCTGGAGCACCTAACTTCACGAATAAATAAATATGTTTCATTCAAACGACGGATCATCATCAGGGTTTTCCGAACTGTCTGCATGATGATTGAATTTGAAAAATGAAATCGCATAGTCATTTCCGTGAAAGAAGGACGGTGAGTGCATCGGATCGGTATTTGATAAGTCGAATGAAAATAATATTTTGGACGCCCCTCGAGTGCAATTTGTCCGAATTCATCTTTTACGAAGTGAAGGCTGACTGTTGTTGTACCGATTGTTTCTCCGTCTTGTGATACGCATTGTAATTGCGAATATGAAAAACTTACTATATTTTCCCGGAGTATCCTGGTTTGATTCTTTTATTTCGATCATCCGTAGCGATCTTTGAGTTTAAGAAAGTTGTTGGGAAATGTGATAAACTGATGCGAAGGTGTTCCTTTGTTTCCGTTTTCAGACTGTTATTCTTTTTCTTGGTATGTTCAAATTGATTTCTCGAGTGTTTCCTGAAAGAGTGACGCAGGGGATTACGGCTGTTTATTTCAAAGGTTTGAGGAAAATTGTTCTTCGCGTGGTCAGTTGAAATTTTACGAGTGATTCGGTGATTCGTTAGCTGGGGCTTTGTGGAACGTTGGATTCGGCACTCACAGCAAATCTGTGTCCATTGCTCAGTCAGCCATGAAGGTCCGGATCATTCCAGCATTGTCTGATAATTACATGTACTTGGTGAGTCCGTAATTGTCAATTATTAAAGGACGCAATTTTCCAAGTTTTTCTAAGCCTTTTAAGAAAATTTTCTACCGAATATTCGATGTTCACCACAGTATAGACATAAATTCTACTACCGTTGAACTCTCCACAAAGATGTCAGGGGACCAGAAAAACAATTGGTGTGGAGGGAATTTCGTTCCAGAGAACCTGTGTAATGTCTACGAAGAATTCATTATAACGGGGGAAATATGTTTCGGGAGAGTTTCATTGTACTTATTTTTATGCATGTTTTCAGTGTAAGCTACTTTTGCACGTGTGAAAAATCTTAGCAGAATTTAAATCCTTTTCAAATTCACCTCTTCGGATAAAATGTAGTGCACACATCTCCAATTCATGTCGATGCCGTGTAAAATCCTTGTTGAACGTAAATTTTAAAAAAATTTAACCACGTTATATTATTCCTAGCTAATGGATCCAGCCACAAAAGAAGCTGCCATTGTAGATCCTGTTGATCCAGGCGCAGTCATGCTCGCAGTCAATGAGGAAGAAGTGACTTTGTCAGCTGTGCTGACGACTCATCATCATTGGTAATTTTTTGCAAGGTCCGTGTTTGCGACAACACTGCTAATTATCATATCCATCATTTGTTTTTTTACAGGGACCACGCCGGTGGTAATGAACATATCGTGAAGCTTTGCAAAAATCTGAAAGTATACGGAGGTGATGATAGGATCGGGGCTCTTTCCCACAAAGTGGGTGATGGTGATAAGTTTAAAGTTGGATCGCTGGAAGTCAAATGTTTACACACGCCATGTCATACCTCGGGTCACATCTGCTATTATGTTACGTCGGATGCTGAGGGTGACCATGCACCTGTAGTTTTCACAGGTGAGGCTTTTCGACATGCCTCTTTTTTAGAAGATTCGTTGTGAATTTTTAATGTTGCGAAACGGTATTTTTGAGACAGGTGATACGCTATTCATTGCTGGTTGCGGAAGATTTTTCGAAGGCACAGCCGAACAAATGTGCTCAGCGTTCAAGAAATTGTCCGATCTACCGGATAACACGGTCAGTTGGTCGCGATTGGTTGAAAATCGGCTTGCATTGTGTGTTTCATTGAGAAATGTTCTGCGTTGCAGAAGGTTTTCTGCGGTCACGAATACAGCGTCAAGAACCTGGAGTTTAGTGAGACTGTTGAACCTGAAAATTCGGACGTGAAGAAGAAGTTGGAATGGGCTCGAGATTGTCGCAATAATGAGATTCCAACCGTACCATCCACCATTGGTGAGAATTGTAAATGCTATTTGGGAACATCCGAAAGTTTGTAGAAAAATCTTCGTGCATTGAATTGTATTTTCTTTCAACCTAAGAAAGCTTGGGGAAGTCCTAAACGCAATTGTCGGCGATTATTTTTACCAGTCGAAAACCAACTTTCCTATTAAACTTCTCTGTACAAATATTTTTATAAAACCATTTCTGGACGGACAATTCAAGGGTGTGGGGCTTCTTTGTGAAATTGAAACGATTTTTTTGTTTGCTTTAAGCGTCATTTTTTGTTGTTGAGTAATTTGAAGAGTATCTTCTCTTTACCACGAAATTCGGGATCGCCTAATTCCCTTGTTGGGTCCTTTTGAGTTTAGTCGAGATTGTTCTGAATCTTTGAAACAGGTGATGAAAAGCTGATCAATCCATTCATGAGGGTGCATGTCAGCTCAGTATTGAATCACTGCAACAAAACGGATGCCGTGGAAGCAATGGGCGTTTTGCGAGCGCAAAAAGATAAATTCTGAGCTTTTTTTTGCGAAAAAACGCGAGACTTTGAGAATTGTGCAGCAAGAAGTATAATAGTGTTCTTTCTAAAGTGTTTGATTTTCGTCTTTTTGTTCTCGTTTTACGCCCGTCTGTAATAGATTAATGTGTGATGTGATCTAAATGACTCAACCTCAAGTTTTTTCCCTCTTTTCTACTGCAACCTATAAATTCGTACGTTTCCGTACATTCCATTTCGACCGATATTTCGTACTCCGTAGTATGAAAAAGTCGCGAAACTTCTTAAAATATATCGGATAATTACTTGCGGTGATTTCAAACATTTTCTACTGCTTGAATAGGGGGCGGAAGCATTTTAATTACTCCTGCGCTTAAAATAAGCAATTTTCGTGAGGTTGAATAACTTGAATTCGTGATTCTTCTCAAGAAATATTGCAGTGTATTTCGGGGTCGTTCGCTTTTCTTGAGCTTTGGTGGGGACAGATGGGTTTTGGATTATTGTTATTCGCAAAACGGAGATGACCGATTGTTTTTCTTTCGCACAGGTCATTTTCTGTTTCTTCCTTTTTGAAAATGAAGGACGGTTGTGAATTCATTTTCCTACAGTCAGCAAATTGGCAATTGAAAATACAAGTGAGCAAGAACATGAATACTTTGTTTTTCTTTTTCAACGCGTGTAATGCGACAGTTTCCTCATTATTCGACGTGTGCTGATTTTGGACCAGTGACAAGATGCGGAGAAATTTCTTCTTGGGACTTCTGGGTTTTCTGTGAAGTTATGTAAAATTGTTGCTTCAAGGAAAATCAGAAGAAAATGGAGGTTAAGCAGAATTCTTCATTATTATGAATGAAATGAGGACATGAGTGTAAGGTTATTCACGAAGTTTTACTGGCAAATAAAAATGAAGAGGTCTATAAAACCTGACCTTGAAGGTGAGAGCCCCTGATACAATGCGGTTTTGTTCAGCGTGAATTTTCCTCCATAATGCCTTCCGAAGTCCCGCAACGTATGTTCCATCTAGATTATGTATTGTTTAAAATAATTTGTGTCTAGCTTTCCACCATTTTGTGGTTTGTGAAAAATTATTTTGTGTCTTGTATATACAAGGGTTCTAACAAAAGTTCTCGGAATGAAAATGAAGATGGAGTCTAATCGAGCTGGAAAAAATTATTCTTTAGGGCAACCATATTCTTTGGCACAAAAAAAAAATCAGCCCAGTTTGACAATTCTTTGCAAAATTTACCCTGGCAGAGTTTTGCTATACACTCAACAGATGAGGCACCCTTCCTGCAGCTTTTTTTTTTGTGGCCCAGTTTCCCCCTCAGAATTCTTGAAATCAACTTGGCATTTTCTCTAAGGGTTGCCTCCAGGTCATCTAAGGCAATTCCGCCATTCATCGACAGCCGCCGTCACAGCCGCCACTTTCAAGCTGGAAAAAAGTGGCCGCCACTTTGGTGGCTGTGATGGCGGCGGCTGTGAATTCATCTTCATTTTCATTCCGAGAACTTTTGTTAGAACCCTCGTATATTGCTATATAATTTGCCCCTTATGTAAGGGGCAAATTATTTCCAGAAATTGAGTCACAAATATGGGGTGTTTGCCATACTTGAGGATAAATTTTTTTAAACGATTCAAAAAGCATGAAGGATGGTGGAAATATTAATGTAATGGAGGAAGCTGCCATTAAATGAAAGTGCACTTCAACTTCTATGGTAGACAATAAAAAACAGGAAAGGCAAAATATTAATGTTAATGGATCTACACGCTTGGAGCATCTAGATTTCACAATATTTTGTACATTCCAAATAAAAAACAAAGATTGTGTTTTGTGTATCTTGTGCTGAGCCCTGAGAGTGATGAAGAAAACATATAAATTACTAAACACAACTTCAGCTTGTTTTTTTCATTTTTAGTTCTGCTTTACATTATTATTCTTGGAAATTATATTTTCAATCAACAAAAATTGGGGTGTGCATCTTACATAGGAATAGGTTCTTGGACAATTTTTGCATAAAAAATAGGGGTGTGCGCCTTACTCAAGGGCAAGTGGTACTTCAGCAAATACGGTAATCCTGGCAAACCTGTGCACTGACATTTCTATAACCTTCATGACCTACTAAAATTTGTCATCATTTTTTGCACTAACATTTTCGTAAAGCGAACTTCTTATTGCGCCGATTTTTTTTATGCGGGGACTCAAGTACTGTACTGTACTGTACCGTCCTCGAAAGGTTCGCGGGCTCATTCGCTGCTAACTATATCGGGTGTCGCAGGATTCACGGAACCCAAGTGCAAGTACTGCATATAGCGCAATTTGGTTGTGAAATCGTGGCTTTTAACCGCGTGTAATTCTCGCCAGGCAGTCATCGTAAGTACCGGGATATGTGACTTTTCTGTACCGGAGGGAAAACGGAACTCTTGCGGTCTCGGTTTGGCTGGTTCTGAAATCCCTTGAACCGCGGAATTTAATTTGTATTATTTTCTTTCTGTTCCTGATGCCCCTAGGGATACAGTATATGGAGAATTCCAAACATTGGATTTTGGAGACATTATTGTATGCATGAGGGTTAATTCGTTCATCAGTTTTGTCAATATTTGGCTTTTCTTGTTGATTAAACGGTTATGAATTGTTAAGTAGTATTGTTTCGTAATACTGTATATCAGTACTTTTGCTTTTGGCCGACCTTCAAAAATTTTAGCACCCATGCAGGTTTAAATTTCCATAAAAAAATTTCGAATCAAATATTTGCAGGTGGATTCCATTCAACTGATGTTTAAACCGTCTATTAAGCTACAGACAGGCTATTTAAAAATCTAAGATTTTATAAAAAGTACCGCATTTCAATTTTGATCGAGGTGGGTATGTTACGTGTGAAGACGCTGAATTAACGCCAAGACTGCCCGATTATGTTTAATTATAAGAAGTAATGAATTCATAGTTTACGTCAGGGCTGTTGAAAATAACCTGTGGCAAATGAGCAGAGTTGATCAAGTCTTGAAAACCGGAAGTGCCTCGAGGGGGGGGGGGGGGGGTTTCTAGCTGCACGATTTGAGCGATGTACCTGAATGATCACAACAGTACCGCTACTGCCCCGAAACAACAACAGGTAGTCCAACACAACACAAAAGAACCCCCGGATTTTTGTTCTTTGCAATAATATCACCGCACGAAATGCGGCCAAGGTTTGCAATTCTAATAAATCCTCGAATGAAAGACGCGCATAATATGAGAACAATTTTATAAAAATGTAATCAAAATTCGTCAGAATTTTCACAATTCCGGGAGTCATGCTCGCATCTGAAATAAACCCATTCAATTGATGTTGATCGTAATGATAAAAATAAAGTCGGAATCGGAATCTTATTTGCGATATACTGAATACGTGCGCTCATTTCTGACGAAATAATCTAGGAAGGTTGAAAAACGTGTTCACTTGAAGCTTCCAGCAAGGTTTCGCCCAGAAAGCCACAAAAAATCGCCAGTTTCCAGCACTAATTCAAAAATTCGGTCTCACGACTGCACGGGTTTCGCAAGTTCATGGAAGTACATTTCAATCATTTTGAAGAAACTGAAAGAAAAATCAAAGAAACTGGGGTTTTTCGCATGCCTAATTGGTTCTTTCCGTGAATCGTTCATTGAATGGCGAATAAGAAAAGACAAAGATTTTTTTCTAATTTTTATGGTATTGACTAATCTTCGTAGTAAATACGGTATATACTAGTAGTGGTGGAGAATAAAAAAAAAAAGTGAGGCACAAAAGGCGCTCGCCGATATATTTTACACGAGGATTTCATCACTGTAACCGAACCGTAAAACAATAAACTGCTTAGCCATGAATGGGATCAAGACATAATTTTCCCTGTTTACAGGATCCACAGCGAATGAATAGAGGTGCCAACGAAACCAAATTCCGAGAATACTGGACGAACAGCACATTGTTCCAGGGTATCAAAATCGCAGAATGGGAACTTTTATTTCACAGACTTCGAGCCTGTCTTTAAATACTGATGAAAAAATTAAACTCGGAATTCCGTAATTCGTCAATTTTCCCCATCTTTTACTGAAGAATAATTTGGGCACATCCTGTCCAGTCTACTAACCCATTCAAGTCGAACTTCCATAACGGACCAGCAAAAACATGGTTAGGGAGGCTTCCGGGTAGGGAAACACGGATTTTGTTGAGGAAAAAAGGAAGAATTACAGGAAATTTTATTTGGCGATATTCTGTGACTTGAATTACAATACTTTTTCAATAATTATTATTTTTTTAATTGGAGCATGAATAATTCGCTGGATTTCCATTGTGAACGTTAATATTCACCGCTTGCTTTGTTCTTAAAAAATAATGGCACCTTGCGTAATTCTATCCTCATTATTTATTGCAATACTTCAGAAACCCTATATTTTCCTTTTGATACTCGTCCAGAATTGCCAACGTACTCTGAGCTATGTAAGAAAAAGTTCTTCAATTTGAACTGAAATTTTGAGAAATTTTCAAGATTTAATGTTAGGTATTATAGCGGTCTCCCTTTCGACTGCGCACAGTTCAGCAGCTTTTTGTGTCCCATGTAAAAGACAATATCATTTTCTATCATTACAACTTCGTGATCGTTCTTTACGTTGATGCTTTACGCGAATACAATACGTTGATGCGGCTGATTCAAATGAATTGTCCCTCCCATACACAGAAATAGCTCGCCGTAAAACCAAGATTTAAGTTTTCCAATCGATTCTTATTGCCCCCAGCATGAAACATAGATTTAATGGATGATTATATTGGAAACGTGTGCAATTGATGGTGAATATTTTTTCACTGTACAGTCTATGGCTTGCGATTGGCTGAACACAATACAGTGTACAGTACTGTATAAATATTATAAATAAAAAAGTACGATGAATTGTTTCAATTTACCGGTATGCAGTCCTTAAAAAACCGTGCCATATTAAAGAGAAAACTTTGTTTCAAAAAAGGCTAGGATTTTATTTTAACGAGTCTTATTCGTATTGCAGAGTGTTTCCAGCATGTTTTTCGTTTTTTCCTAGGCCGCACTTTTCACTCTTTTTTTGGGTCCTGAAGTCCTGGGTTTTTTTTTCCCTTTTTTTCTTTCTTTTCTTTCCCAGGACAACCTCATGTACAATATATCGTAAATACGAGTTATTCTCGATGGTACCCCTCCGGCCAAATGCGGCAGGAAAACCGCATCCGTCCGCCACGATCTTGCCCTCGTCAAGAAGATTCCGGGGTCACACCGGAAAACCGGTCGTGCTTCGTTCTACTTTTTCTTCCGATTTCTTTTTACTTCCTGTTGTCTTTCTTGCTGCAGATAATTCACGCGTCAACGATTCATCAACGGATGACCTGAGTCAGTATACGGAAGGAACCAGACACCAAAAAATGAACACAGAGAACAGCGCATAAACGAACGATTTATGTTTTTGTTGTCTGGAGCCCATTTTTGTCTCATTTTTTTTGTAATTTAATTTATGTCTTACTCTCGAGATTTGCACGGAAATAGAAAGTGGGAACGGGAGGTAATTTTTGTTTCAATTTAAATTGACACAAATGTAATCCAGTGAATACCAGGAAATTTGTCACGAAGACTTTTCTCCGATTTATGGTTCAGCTTTCCATCTCGGTATTTTTCTGGTG